CATCCTATATTCCCATTCCCAAACTCAGGCATGATAAAATTATATGCAATGGAAATAATGATTTTAAAATAATTTTAAAAACTACCCTGTCTATAATGACCAAACCAGTCTTATTACAATAATTTGCAGTGGGTTTTTTAAGCAAAATTTTAATTTTACTGTCTGTATAGTTGTACATAATTTTCCTTTGGCAAAAGTACTTTTCCTTACTTGATTCATGACTTTTAAATACATTTTTAATAAGAAACTGATAATGTGGTCATTCGGGGCAAGCCTACCAGTGATTGTGTCTTCTTATCTTCTTTGACTATAGCCGTGGGATGGAAGCCTGGTCTAAGAATTAAAAGACCTGTGCTTGACTTCCAGCCTGTTTGCTGCCAAGCTTTATGTATGGTCTTGGAGAATTCATTCATTCACTGCTCTGAGCTTCACTGGCTTCACTTATTAACATAAGGATGATTAGATAAGATGATTTCTTAGATCTTTCCCAGCTAAGATTCTTAGAGACAATGTGAAATATTTGATACTTGGAGAAGTGTCCAAATCTTATGTTTAATTGTAAAGTGACTGTGACTGCATACCAAATGCTTTAGATTTGTCAATGAAGCCCAAACATCTGCTATAAAAATGTGTCTTTATTAGTAATGCATTAAAAAATGTTTTACCTTGAAAACGAGCCAATTCATTATCCGTTAGCAAAATAAAGCAAAATAAATTGAGATTTCTTTATTACTTAGTATAAATTTAAAGTAGATGAGGGACTTCCCTCATTTTCTGGAGGAAAAAGTGGGAGAAATGAAAAGCCTGGCAAGGCTGCCTTAACCTTGTACTATTTTATTGTTATTGAAATATTTGTGTCTTTCTATAGTGGGAAGTTGCGGAGGTTGTTTTGGAAGTGTTTTATAAATTGCTCAGAGATTATGAGCCTCAGCTTGAAGATTTTGTAGACCAGTTTGTGGAACTACAAGGTAATTTAATTCTGTCACTTTCAAACAAGGCGTCAGCTATTTATATAGCTATTTGTTATT